TCTCTCTCTCTCTCTCTCTCTCTCTCTCTCTCTCTCTCTCTCTCTCTCTCTGAGAGCAGTTATTAATATAAGAGGAAATTAGTTTTTAAGAGAAATCACTGCTCGGCACATTTTACATAAATTTCAGTGATTAGTTACAGTATGAGAGCAAATTCATTTAATTAAAAGTACACAATTTTMAAGAAATACATTCATTTTAAATCTTATTTTTTCACGTTTAACCATTTCAGAAACTGATGCTTGGGAATGAATTTGTTTCAAAAACAGACGAGCATGACTTTGAGGAGTTTTCTTCGTAGGCTGGGCTCTCATGAGTCGGCGAGCAGGCCCTGCCCATATCTGGAGCTGCACAGTAACCTGAGAGAAGAGACCACCCCGAGAAAGGGGGCAGAGCGACAATGGTGTGTGTGTGTTTTACATCAACACAGCTTGATAGAAAGAATAAGGAAAGCAATTGAGAGGTGGGGGGCGTTAACTTTTGGTAAAAGAGRGGCATGCGAGTTGAGGGAGTTTCCAAAGTTTTCAAAGCAGACTGCAAACATTAGACTTCAGAATCTGCAGGGCCTCAAGATGTAGACTACACAGTCCTGCTGGATGGAAACCACATGTGAGCTGGGGTTTTAGCAGAAACACTTTTCACATGCAGGGCTTAGATTGCAGAAAAATGGGGTAAAAACTAAGAAAAGGATATAGAAAAATATAAAGAGCCAGTGAGACGAAGAGGACAAACTCCCAGATGGACATGTGCAAAGATCGAGTCCCCCTGGGCTTTCTGCTGCGTTTGAGCATCCTGCTCACTGCTGTGTGCCTCGGAGTTCACCTGTACCTGGACACCAGTTGGCAGGGTCCTCCTGCACCCCTGGCTTTGGGACGCTCCATGCACTCAGATCAGAACTGGGACCAACAGACCAGGAGGAGACCGGTCTCTGCAGAGGCTGTGGAACACGACAGAACCGTTCAGATCTCGTTTGTGCAGGCTCTGAAGGACGACAGTCCCATCAGGAGGAAGGATGGAGACAGAGAGGACCTTCTTTCACCTCTCCAGCCACGCAGAAAGGTATCAAACTCAAGGTCCACGGGCCAAATTTGGCCCTCGTTAAGAAATTATCCGTCTCCAAAGGTAATAATTTAAACGTAAAATGATTTTACCGTTTCTTTTTTTATGTTTTTTTTTTCAACAATAGTTGACTTTAATTCT